CACCCCCACACCCCATCCCCGCTGCCCCACCCGCGGAGAGGGGGGAGACGCGACGGGGCGGGCTGGGGACCCCCCCGCCGCTCCCGCGCTCAGCCCGGCGCCCACCTTCATCCTCCGCGGAGGTTTCGTTGCTTTCGGGCATCTTGTGGGGACTCTCCTCTTTCGTCCTCGCCCCGTCGCCTTCGTCGTCGTCCTCATCCTCGCTCTTGTTCCGCGGGGCCCAGGTCATCTTGTTCTCCTTCTTGAGCCGGCGGCGGGCGTTGGCGAACCAGGTGGAGACCTGGGTGAGGGTCATCTTGGTGATGATGGCCAGCATGATCTTCTCGCCCTTGGTGGGGTAGGGGTTCTTGCGGTGCTCCTGCAGCCAGGCCTTGAGGGTGGCCGTGGCGTCGCGGGTGGCGTTTTTCCTGTACGCGGGGTCGTTGAGCTGGTAGGGGTAGGCAGGGCTGCCGTACGGGTGGTAGCTGATGGCTCCGGTCATCCCCGTCGTATGGGCGTCGTAAGGGGAGCCCTGGACAGAACAAAACGGTGGGGTTGGCAATTTGTTATTGCTGATAGCCATTAGGAAGTTGTCAAGGCGAGATCGGCGGTTCTAGTCGTATTTCCCCGGGATGGTGTCTTGTATCCATATTCTATGAGGGGGGGAAGCAGCACCCAAAGGCCATTAAGTTGCGATTTCGCCCCCCCCCCCTTCCTCCGCCCAGCACACGCGCTTAAAATCGGCGACGTTTGAATCTTTCTGCCTAATTTCGGCTCCTTGTAATTGAATCTTTCCCAATATAATTTCTGAACGGCGGAGACATTTTAAAGGCCCTACAGGTAGCGTCTTGATATCTACATTTCTCTCCAAGGTTCAAAAGATGTTTCCTTTTTCGCTATAGAAAACACAACAAAGCCGCCACTTAGCAATTCACTGCACTAATGCATTGCAAATCCAATTTGCAAATCAGAAGATATGCACCGTTTCGAATTGTTCAAATGCGATGTAATTAGCATTTTAATTCGCCCTTTAACGTTTAAATTGCGCTTATTTAAGGCTGCATAATGCAAGAAAAGTTAAAGATATCGCTAAGGAACTCGCTAACTTTCAGCACGGCTCTGAATCCCACAGATCGCCGAGGCACAGGCGCAACATCACCCAAATATCCCGCACAGTTCACAACCTCGCTGCAACTTCCAGCCCCTCGCCTACCGCTTCCCGACAGGAAAAAACCAAAAAAAACCCAACAAGCAAGCGAGATCCTCAGATCTTCTATACCACCCCGAAAAAAAAAAAAGACCGCTCGACCGTTTACGCACCGTATTTTACAGCCAGAAAGCAAGGAGTTTCCCTGTCACTTTGCAGGGGAGAGCGAACTACCCCCGCTGCCGTCCCCTCCTCGGATCTCGCCAGCGGCTCCGGTCTCAAATTCCGGGCACAGGTCTTTGTGTGTACGGACTAGATACGGGTCTGACTCTGGGTGTGTGTTTATAAAACTATATCATCATCTAGACGTGCCGTTTCTTTCTGTACTTTATGGGTTTATTTTTCTAGTTTATGCGCAGAATACACACACACGCAATGGCAAACGCTGCTTTTAACTAATAAGAAGAAAGTGAAATCCGAAACTGCGGCCACCACAACCATCTTGGGCTTAAGCGAAGCTCACAGATCGCAAACAGATGCTCCTTTTCATTCCTAAAATCCAGTTAAACCATTAGCACAAAACACACTGAAAGTAAATAAAACCACACGGGGATAAAGCCCGCAGCGCCTCTAAACACCGACTTAAAAAGCGAGGGGAAAAGAGAGAAAAGAAGAAGAAAAAAAAAAAAGGGAAAAAAGAAACCCTCCCCTATACTACCACAGCGAAAAGAAAAAAAAAGAGAAAGCGGGGGGGAGGGGGGGGGAGAATTGAAAGCATTCAACCCAACTGCCTGAGACGATCCGTATTTCTTTAACCAGGGCGCCCGCCCGGCTCCGCGAACC